TTAGCAACCTACACAGGCGTTTCCAGCAAGAACCAGGGGCTGTCAGGACACCTTAGTCAGCAGAGAAGGGAGCATCAAATGCTTGAGAAGGGGGCCTCCCTGGTGACCTGGAGGTTGAGTCTTAGCACTATTCACCTCTATGGCCTGAGTGTGATCCCCGGCAAGGGAGGTGACCCACATGGCGCCGCAGACCTCTCGTCTGCCCACTGCTCCCCTTAGGAGTGTATTTCAGTCAATCTGCCTGTTCCGCTCCCCACTCTGTCTCTGATGAATCCTCTCACCTCCCCACACCTCTGGCCTATACCCATTCTACGCAAAACAACATATTAGAGAAGTTAGGTCAAAATTATTTTCTTGAGGCTTAGCATCTTTTACCTTTGGAAAATTTAGATTTAAAAATATTTAAGAGATTCAGAGCATGAACACTAATCCTTGGAAAACAAGATTGTATGTACATCTTATATCATGAGTATTGTTTTAGAAATGTTGAACTATTAGGCCAGCGTGTGGTTCAGTTTCAAATGAATGACTGAGTAACTGACTAACTTAACCTTGCCATTTTAAACTGAAAGTTTTTATAAGTCTGTTAACAGTGTTAGTACATACGCGCTTAGAGATTCACCCCATTTACTCTCTGAGCGCTCACCTAGTTTGCAGACATGACCACAAACACCAAGAAGGTGGGTATCACTGGTAACTACGGGACCCATTATAGTGCCTCCCTCAGGAAAATGGGTGAAGGAAATTGAAATCAGCCAACATGCCAAATACACACGTTCCTCCTGTGTCAAAACCAAGATGAGGAGTTGTGCTTTGGGGACCTGGCACTCTGGTTCCTGAATGAAAATGGTGGCTGGGGGTGCATGGACCTACAAAATCGCTTCTGCCATCACAGTCAAGTCTGTCACCAGAAGACTGAAGGAATTAAAAGACCATTAGAAGTTCCACAATTTGAAACACTGCCAGCCTATATAATAAATGGGTTAACAAAAAAGAAAAATTCACCCCATTTATAATTGACTAGATTTAAGTTATTTGCAAGTTCCAAAATATGAAAACTGCAGGACTTAAAAAGGAAACTATCCTCAACTTTAAATTGCAGCAGTTTATAATACTTAAAACTATTAAACTCCTTTTGCAAATGGGATGAAACATGAACTTATGATCCCTTAAAATCTGCTAGATTAGAAAAGATTAGAAGGTTGAACTGAAGCTTAGAAGAGAACTAGGCATTAGCACTTCTATGTTTAGTAAACTCAATGTTCACGTTCCAAACCAAAGTAAGTCTTTTACATACAAGAGTCCCAAGAAATAGTACTGAAGTAATTAAGCCGAGGTAACCCGTCTTAGCTCCTAGATCAGTCACTTTATTATGCTTTTCACCCATGAAGATTTCACGGGTAGAAGACTTAGTGGGCAAGTTCCAACCACTTATCAGATTCTATATTTCTGTATTTCCTTGGTTCGTAGGGGAACAAAAAGGGTGATTTTTGCAGGTTATCTTTTTAGCCTCTTTTTCCACAATAAAGGCACTCTGACTACAAATTTGTTTTTTTGTTGTTTTTTTTTTTTTGACTACAAATTTGTAAGTTAACTAACCTATATCTGATACAAATTCCCTCCCAGAGGTAAGCACTATTGTTGGTATGGAGTTCATCCTTTGTTTTTTTGAAAGATTTATTTATTTATACAAGAACTGGGGTACAGGTCAGAGGTGCAGGAGGGTGAGAGAATTCACCAGAGACAGAGTAGGGAGCAGAACAGGCAGAAGAACCAAAGACACTGCTGAGGGGAGCAGCAGGCGAGGTAGGAGAGGTCTGCCGCACCATGTGGGTTTCTCCCAGGCCGGCCGGGAATTGAACCGGCGCTGAAGTGGCTGCAGACAGCTTCACAGAGCAGCACTCAACCCGCTGTGCCAGCAGGTAGGCCCTGGAGTTCATCCTTTGACACGCCTTCTAGCTTGCTTGATAGGACTCTCTTAATCTACTTAGCACTCAATTTTAAGTCCTTCTCACAGGCTTTCACAGAAAGCATGATTTACAAGCTACTTAATGCCTTCATAACTACCAAACAACAAAAACATGATCTGCATTTTACCATACATGTTTTCTACAAACTACTCTTTTTTTCCTCCCTACAGTCGTTTTTTCATAAATGTATGTGGACCTGCATCAATTTCTGGCAACTACTGCAGTTTCTCTGACAACCAACAGGAATGTTTAATCGCTGCCCTTCTAATAATGACTCTGGTTGTTTTCTAACTTTTCAACAAAGCAAAGAATCCTGTAGTGTACTTTTTTCGTATATTCTGTACACATATCTAAGTATTTTAAATGAAACTTCTGAGTCAAACCAAGGGTTTAATAAGAATCATTAAACTGCCCTCCATGTGATCTTGGATTCCCAAGGGTTTCTTGTCCGTCCTTGGTTTCAGAGGTTACCAGAATATGAAATAAAAAAAAGGAAAAATGTAGAATAGAGTGGCATTTGTGAAAAGAGAGACAGCAACTAGAAGTCCCAACCCAAACTCACCAGGGTAGACCAGGAAGTCACCCCCAAACTTGCCAGCAGCACTGAGGAAGAAGCCTCGTTCCCACAGGTCTCTGTAGATGCTGTAGCGCAGCTCGTGGGCAGGACGGCCAGCATGGGGCCAATCTTTGGACTGGACACGCCAGTCCAGGGGCCTAGCCTTGATGGGACGAGGCCTAGCAGTGGCCAGCTGGACCAGCAGAGCAGATCTGGGCAAGGGGGTTACCCCATTTGAAGGCCCTGGCTGCGGAGAGGAGGAACCTGGGGAAAGTGAATTCAAGGCTTCGGTAACTCTAGGGACCAAGAACTCCCCATCTCCAGGGAGTCCCAAGCCCTGCAGCCCAAATCCTCAAATTCCCTCCGTCCCTTGGTCCCTCAATCCCAGCTCCCACCCTCACCTGCTTCCTCGGTCTCTCCAGAAGTCCGGCTGGCACTGGCCTCATTCTCTCCCACAGGTGGGTTCCCACCGGCCTTCTGGCTCTCGTTAGTCCCTGAATCCTGTTCTAGCTTCTGCTTCTTCGAAGCCTGGCCCTCTGCAATCTTCTCTAGGAGCTCCTGCCGCCGGGTCTCACGGGCCTCAGCTGCCAGGGCGCTTTGCTCCTGGAAGCCCTGCTCTTGCTGGCTCTTGAAGGATGCCAGAGCCTGAGAAAGGAACTTAGCTGGAATCCCAGGATCCAGGCATGCTCCAGTGATCCTGACTCCCTGGCCCCTCCCAACCTAAGAGCCCGAACCAGGGGATCCCAGTGTCCAACTCGCACATTATTCCAGAATTCAAGCCCCTCCCCACCCAGAGACCTGGATTCCGGGCGTCCAGTCTCTCTCCCGCAGGCCCAGGGAGTTCCCGCACCCAGCCCGCCCCCTTACCAAACTGTGTTGCCGGGGATCCGGGCGCGGGGCGCTGACCAGGGTCACGGCGCCGATCTCCGCCAAGAGCCGCGCCTCTTCGGGCATTAGCAGCAGCGGCAGGCCCAGGCGCGAGTTCTGGCGGGGCCCACGGGGCAGGGCGCCCACCGTGCGGCCCCCAACTCCCAGGCGCTCCCGCAGCGCCTGGACCGCCTCGGCCCCCCACACCAGGGAGCGGCCGTTCGCCACCTCCACCACCAACATCCTCCTGCAGGAGCCGGGGCACAGCGGTCACCCCACCCGCCGCGCCGCCGGAGGACCCCACCGCCTCCCGGGCCCCGGCGAGGCCCCGCCCAGACGCCAGGGGCGGAGCCCCGGCCGGGCCGCGGTTCGCCGCCCGCCCCGCCCGGAGGCCGGGCCCCGCCCCTCGTGGAGCGGCCCGGGTCCCGCTCGGCCCTGGGCCGCCAGTCGCACTCGGGCCGGCCCCGCGCGCAGCACAAGGTCACGCCCCCGCGCAGCGTCCATGTTGGCGCCGCCCCCTCGCGCCGCGGGCGTCTCCTCGCCGGAGCTCCCGGCAGGTGTCGGCCACGCCCCTCGGAGCTCGGCCCCTCCCCTGGCCGAGCCGCCGAGGTTGAGCTCAGGGCGTCTCCCTCCGAGCAGGACCCCCCGAGAGCCGCCCCGCCGCCGCCGGGCCCGGAGCCGGCGCGCGACGCCCCGCCCCCTACGTCACGGCCTGCGCGGCGCCCTCGGCCCCCGCCTCGCCGCGCGCGCGGCCCCGCCCCCGGCGCCCGCTGGCCTCCGCTCGGGCGGGCTCACCCCACTCGGAGCTCTCGGTCGGCCGCCGGCCCCCCTGCGGAATGTCGCGCCGTCCTCCGACGGACCCAGCGAGTCGGCGCGCGGTCCCGGCCGAGCCACCGGCTACGCAGCGCGCCGCGCGCCGCTGCCTCCACCCCCCATGCCGACCCCTGCGTCAGCCTCGTCACGCAGCCACCTCAGCGAAAAGGGACAGCCGGGACCCGCCCCGCGGCGCCGTCGCCCCGCCTCCCCCTGAAGGGGCGCCCTTGGCCCGCCCCCTTGAGGCGCGCCCCCTCCGCCCTAGAATTCGGCGGGTTGCCCGGGTCCCGCCCTCCGAGCCCGCCTGGCCGGAGCCCCGCCCCCTTCCCCGGGCCGCCAGCCCTAGCCCCGCCCCCTCCTGGTGGCGTCCAGCCTGTGGCCCCGCCCCCTCCCGAACACGCGGCTCCGCCTCCAGCAAACCCGGGCGCCGGTCGGCCACGGCCCCCCCCATCGAGCCGACGCTCTCGGCCCCGCCTGCGGCCGAGCCGCGCGCTTCCGCGCTCGCCCGTCTCCGAAGGAGCCCGAAGCGGAGGCCCCGCCTCCTTCCCGGGCTCCGACGCCTGCCCCAGCCCCCCCGGTCCCGGCCCGGCCCGCCCCTTTCCGGGCTGCCGCTCGGCGGATCCGATCGGGGCCGGCCGCGGGCGCGTGTTCCTCGGTCGGGTCCGAGCGCCTCCGGGGCCGCCGCCGCCTGACGGGGCCGTGCCCGGGCCCCGGCCGCCTTCCCGACAGACCCCCGACGGGAGCGGGGGCGCGGGCCGGGCGGGGCGGGGGAGGCGTGGCGGGGCCGGCGGGCTCTGCTCGGCCGCCTCCTGCCCGCGCGCGGCGCGGAGCCGCGGGCCCAGGTGGGCTGCGGGCCCGGGGCGCCCCCGCGGCGCGGCGGGGCGGGGCGGGGCGGGGTGGGGTCGCTGCGGGGCGGCGGGCGGCCGGGTGCGGGGGCGGCGCCGGGCGCGCGGCCGGCTGGAGGTGGCGTAACTGCCTGTGGCTTTGCCGGGGAGGATCTGACCCGCGCGGGGTGCACGCGACCCGGCTGGGCTGGGGGCCGCTGCCGGCCCTTAGGGAGCCGGGGCCTCAGCTCCCAGAGAGGGGGCGGCTGGATGCTTGGACTCCTGGTCCTCTGGAAGAAGGTCTGGGGGGTCTGGAGTGGAGGGTTCTCGAAGAGGGAGGGGCGGGGGGAAGGAATCTGGCTGGAGCGGCGGTTCCTGGATCCTCGAACGAGGATGTTGGGGGCCTGGAATCCTGGGTTCTCAAAGGAGAAGAGAACTGGAGGCCTAGGATGTCAAACCAGGGGGGCCCGGGGGTGGACGACTCCATCCTCCAAGGAGGAAGTACCTGGAAAGGGTCCGATTCCAGTGTTGTCAAAGAGCCGAGACAGGCTCCATGAACTTCAACAATGGGGGGGGGGTGCGGATTCATGAATTTCCTGAAGGAGAAGGGGACCCCCCCTCAGTCCTGGGTTCTTATCACCTGCCCCTCCCCCAGACCATGTCGCCTGAAGAATGGACATATCTGGTGGTTCTTCTTATCTCCATCCCCATCGGCTTCCTCTTTAAGAAAGCTGGTGAGTCAGGTTCCTTCTCCAGTGGAAAATAAGGGGGGAGGACCCAGGCGGGGGACCCTTTGGAAGGTTCTAGTCTTATGCTGTCCTTTCTCCCTGCAGGACCCGGCTTGAAGAGATGGGGGGCAGCAGCTGTGGGCCTGGGGCTCACCTTATTCACCTGTGGCCCCCACACCTTACATTCTCTGATCACCATCCTTGGGACCTGGGCACTCATTCAGGCCCAGCCCTGGTGAGATTTGGGGGTGGGTGGAGGGAGACTGGAGGGGGAGAAGGAAGCAAGAAGCAACCTGTTTCCCCTTGGGGGCTTCCTTCATTTCTGGCTGGTTCTCTGGGTGTCTTGTTTATCTCTGCAATTGCCGGGTCGTTGTGTCTTCAACTTTCCTTCGCCTCCTGCCTTGTCTGGGTCTTGCCCCGTGTGTTTGTCCCCATCCTGTGCCTCCATGTCGTGGACTAGGGAGAGAGGGGGACCTTACTTGTCTGCTGGTTCTGCCGTCATTCATATTCCTCTTCCTTCCCCCTCTCTCCTCCTTTTCCTCCCTCTCTCCATCTCTATTCCTCTTCCTGTCTCTCTCCTCTCTCTGTCTCTCCTCCCTCCTCTTTTTTCCCCTTCTTCCAGAAAAAAATGGAGGGTTGATGCTCCCTGATGCTTCACCCTGATGCTCCCCTTAATCCCTCTTCATGCTCTTCTTTGTTACCTCACGTTTCTAAGTGGCTGTGCCTTTTATTCTGTTTCCGTCATGCTCACATTCCATCTTCCCCGCCCCCATTTCTGGTCTGGGGAGGTGGGGAGACTTTGTAGCTAGAATCTGGGGGAGGCCAAGGCCAGATCCCTGTGCCCAGCACAGCAGCCTCCTGCCTTTGCCCAGCTCCTGCCATGCCCTGGCCCTGGCCTGGACCTTCTCCTACCTCCTGTTCTTCCGCGCGCTCAGTCTGCTGGGCCTGCCCACTCCCACGCCCTTCACCAATGCCGTCCAGCTGCTGCTGACACTGAAGGTCAGACTCCATCCTGCCCTCCATCCTCCCCAACTTCACCCCCTCCTGGAAGCCACTGTGGGGAGGATACATGGGGGTGTGTGAAATTTTATCTCCCAAACCCTGGGGCCAGGTGGGACATTGCCGCTCTCTCTTCCCTGGGGTAAAGATGTATCCCCAAGTAACGTAACAGTGGGAGCCAGAGCTAAGGGTCCTACCCATGTGCTCCTTGCATCTCTGCAGCAAGCCATCTTGCTAGGGAGAAAAGACCCACACTGGGGAGGAAAGGCTTAATAGGACTTCAAACCGGAACACCCAAGTCTGACTTGAAACCACCTGGGAAAATGGGTGAAAACAGAGTCCCAGGCCTCGGCCAGACTGAAAAGTCATGCCTCCCTACTCAGTGCCGGGCCTCAAGGACCTATCAGTGGCCAGAACTGTGTGACAGGTAGTGCAGTGGGTGTCTTTGGATTCCAGTGCCCTATGGGGGTTCAAGGCCAGGCTTGGTAGGCTCAGGGGAGGCTTGGAGGAAGAGCCTTTGGGATGCAGGGAGCAGCGTGTATGCAAGGTTGCTCAGCCAGCCGCCTTGCATCCACGCCAGCCTTGCCGACTTTCCCTCAGGAGAAGGAAGGAGAGCGTCCATAGGGCCTCGTTGGCCAACGTGAGGAGTCTAGACACCTTTTTGTGGATCCAGGAGGCACCGGAAGAGGTTTTCTGGTTTGTTGTCACCTTTTTGGCACGAGAGGTCATGCAGGCAGATGTACACATTTAAAAACGCTCACTTGAGGCTGAGAATTTCGCACAGGCTGGGATGAGAAAGGGTCCTTATCCCAGTCCAGCACAGTCAGGCAAACTTGGAGCCCGCTGCATTTAGGGCAATTTGAGGCATTCCTATTTACACCAGTGGGGCAGGATGTAGAGGAGCCAGGAGGGTCGATGTGGGAGCCTGGGCCCAAGGGGCCGAGAAAAGGAGCCAGTGGTGGAACCTGGAAGGAAAGGCTTGGGGAGGCCATAGATCCACCACCTGGAGACAGTCCATAAAGGTCTGTCAACCCAAGATGTTCTTACAAGGGAGCCCCAGTGCTGCCCTCATCCTGCCTTCCTCCATTTCCACATGGGCCTCCCACCAGACAAAGCAGAAGAGGCCTGAAGACCAAGGCCTGTTCGCGCATAGCAGCCTGGGGTCTGGGAGGGGCAGTAGAGCATACCCAGTCCACACTCAGAGACTTGAGGACTTACAGATCAGGGGTCCAGAGAGGATGGTGGTGACATTTACGAGGGGGAGACTGGAAAGAGGATCAATTTGCGCTTCAAAGAGTAGGTGAAACCACATTCCACAGTGGAGGTGGGAAATTTGAGAGGTGCCCAGAAGACATCAGAGTATTGATGACAAAAGGCACGTTGATGAATAAGTTTGAGGTGGGGGAAGAAGTCTGGACGGGACAGAATTAGAGGTAGTCCGTGAGGATCTGGGTAGTATCTAAAGGCTCAGACTTCAGGGAAAACCCAGAGCAACAGGAATGATCCCAGGGGAAAGCCCCCCAGCTTATCGGACTAAAACCCTTACTCACCACTCGAGATTCTCCCAGCTGCCCTCAGTGCAGACGCTCAGCTCCCTTTTGCAGCTGGGGAGGTGGGTGTGAGGAAGGACCCCGGTCTGACCTGTCCCCACCCACACCCCCTTCCCCCAGCTGGTGAGCCTGGCCAGTGAAGTCCAGGACCTGCATCTGGCCCAGCGGAAGGAGCTGGCCACTGGCTTCAGCAAGGGGCCCAGCCTGGGGCTGCTGCCGGACGTGCCCTCTCTGATGGAGACGCTCAGCTACAGCTACTGCTACGTGGGAATCATGACCGGTGAGCGCTGGCTCCTCCCGTCCCCAGGGCTGTCTCCTGTACCCCATCTCCTGCCAGCGTCCCTGTTGTGGGTTCCCACCCTCTGTTCCAGCATCTCCAGCTCTGGGGATGAGCCTCTGCTCCCAGGTCTGGGTCTGACTCCCCCACTGTCCCATGGCTTCTCCAGAGTGGGGACAGACTGTTCTGCTAAGTGATTCCTTGTAGCTGATGGGAAGCAAACAGATGAAGAGAGAGATCAACTTGAACTTGGTGTTTTCACCACCCTGGCAACATATTCTTAGTTTAGGATCCCATTTTCTTTTTCCTGAGATTTTTTTACTCATTTTGTGACCATGAAAACCACAGTTTGACCATCATCACATAATTGACTAGGTAGATGGTCTGAACCATCCTGTCTGGCTCACTGTAGAGACTCTGTAGATGTGTTTGATCTTTAAAAACATGTCTTAATTTTTCATTCTTAATTTTCAGAAGAGCAGAGACATTTTACCACTTAATCTCTTGAAGTGATTAAGTTGCTCCTACTTTGTGAGTGCTATCTCAGGGGCTGGCCACCACATTTGTAGCTTTTGGCCACTGGGGCATGCTTTGTTTTTATATTTCTTTTAGATTTATTTTATTTATGCATACAAGAACAGGGGTGTAGGCCAGAGGTGCGGGGGGCGAGAGGATTCACCAGAGGCAGAGTGGGGAGCAGAATAGGCAGATCCACTGAAATCCACTGCTAAGGGGAGCAGCAGGGAGACAGGAGAGGTCTGCTGCACCCTGTGGGTCGGCTCCCTGGCCAGGGATCGAAATCAGGCCGCAGTGGTTTCCCATAGCTTGATAGTGCTGAGACTTTAACCCCTGCGCCACCAAGGAGGCCCACTGGGGCACCCTTTGGTTTGCTGTTACTATCCCATGTTCAATTCAGAAACTATTTTATTTTCCCGTGTTGACCATATAGGTTTTCAGTGTTTTTAACAACTTTTCGAGTTCTCCCTGCTGTGTTGCTTGGTGTTAGACTAGCCACAGAGTAGGGTAACTTTCACCACTGCGGAGGAGTGTCGTCGCCCCAGAATGAAACCTCGCACCCTTAGCCGTCAGCCCCCAAACCTCCCTCTTCCCCCAGTCCTGACAACCACTCACTTTCTCTTGTCTGAGCTTTTATCAGTGGTGCCACACGCTATTGGTGTGGCTTTGTGACCTCTCTGGCTTTCAATGCCCGTCACGTGTCTTAATTCCCATGGCTGCCTCCTCGGCCAGGCCCTCTTCTTACCATCGCTGCCTGTCCCGTTCCTGTTAGTGTCCCGCTCTGCGCAGCAGCCAGAGGAGTCTTAAGAAAGGGTGACTGGGGTCCCAACACTTCCCTGCTGGAGATCCCCCGTGAGTCTGCCCAGCACCCCGACTTTTCACACTGCTCACTTCCTGCTGTCCTTTAGACCCAGACCACCCCTGTCTCTTGGGGTCTGTCTCCACTTGTCTCGGCACCCCGGTACCGCTCATTCTTGGGAGTCTGTGTCCCTCTCTGTAATTGTCTGTCTGTCTCCCTGTATTCCTCCCCGCCCCTCCAGTTCTTTGTGCCTTTCTCTCTGGGTGTCCGGCCCCTCCCTCTGGACATCATGCCTCCACCCCCGGTCTCTGCTGCCTCTCTCTGTCTCTACCCCATTGTCCTCTTGCTCTGAACCCCCTCACCCCCTCACCTCCCACACCCCAGGCCCGCCTGCAGACTGGAGCTCTGCCCACTTCCCCATGGGTTCAGACTCTGACCCCGGCCTCCCTCCTGCCACAGGCCCGTTCTTCCGCTACCGCACCTACCTGGACTGGCTGGAGCAGCCCTTCCCCGGGGCCGTGCCCAGCCTGCGGCCTCTGCTGCGCCGCGCCTGGCCGGCCCGCTCTTTGGCCTGCTCTTCCTGCTGTCCTCCCACCTCTTCCCACTGGAGGCCGTGCGTGAGGACGCCTTCTACGCCCGCCCGCTGCCCGCCCGCCTCTTCTACATGATACCCGTCTTCTTCGCCTTCCGCATGCGCTTCTACGTGGCCTGGATTGCCGCCGAGTGCGGCTGCATTGCCGCCGGCTTCGGGGCCTACCCCGTGGCCGCCAAAGCCCGGGCCGGGGGCGGCCCCACCCTCCAATGCCCACCCCCCAGCAGGTCAGGCGGCGGGAGGGAGGCTGCCCAAGACCAGGCTGGCCCCCTCAGCGGGGGCTGGCCCTGCCCCTAGCCGGGAGGAGAGTGGGGAGAAGGGGGCGGGCCCACCACGAGTGGTTGGCAGTGTCACTTCTCGCCACCACAGCCCGCTTTCCCCTGTCTTAGGGAGACAGTCCTCCTGACACCCACAGACTGCCCCTGTTGCTAGCTTGTCATCCCCTTGGGATGGAGACTCGGTCTCTGTGACTTGAAAAAGGAAAGTGGGATCTTTAGCACCTGTGCCGCCCTAAAGGATTACCCCAATAACCAGATGATTCCTGGTTGCCCAGGATGGGTAGCCCTTTGTTGCTAAGGAAGTGGTTCCCTAGCAACTGGACCATCCCAGTTTGCTAGGGAAGCAGGTTTCTTAGCAACCAGGGTCCACCCTTTCCTCACAAAAGGCATGTTCTTTGTTGCTATAGAAATAGCATCCCCTTAGTTGCTACGAGCCAGCATCCTCCCCCTGGGATGTCCTCACAGCCTATCGTTGCCCCGTTTCTATGGAAATGGCATCCCTAACTGTGCTGTCCTCTGGTGTGTTGGAGGGGAAGATACCATTCCGAGCAACCATTGCTCAGGAAGCCCCCTGGTAACTCTGGGTTGTCCTTGATTCTGGTATTGCCACCCCCAGCACCTTCATTGCTAGGTAAGGCAGACTGCTGATAACCACAGGCCCTCTTGTTGCTAAGGAAGTATCCCTCCTGTGTTGACAGGGAACTGGCTCCCCCTAGCAACTGGGAGTGGACTGTGCTCTCCGCTCTTAACAGCCATAGTCTCTACCACCCAGGGCTGGGGTGGGACTAGGGGAGCAGCCCTCTGTAGTTCTGAGGACGACTCCTTGCTAGGGCCATGCCCACAGTGAAATGCCATTCAACACAAATTTATCGTCACTGCTCCTGTGGCTAGAGTGTACCCCAGAAAAAGGTGAAGCAACCTGATGAAGCCAACCCTGATGGCATCCCTCCTGTGATCAGAAGCAGAGTTCACGGGGCCAAGCATATTCCCCACTACTCAAACAATCACAAAGACCAATAGCAGGAAAGGCCCTTTTATGTTTTTTGTTTTTTTCTCCTTTCTGTTGGTCGGAGAGTGCCGGCTTTGTGGGTGGGGGAGGGTAGCAGGGTTCTGATCAAGGAAAGGTCCTTGTAGAAGCTTTTCTAAAACCAGCTAGACCTGGTTGCCAAGGAATGCCCTTTCCCTAGCAACAGAGATCATCCTGCTGTCCTTGGGCTCGGCACATCTCCCTAGCAATCCACGAACCCCCTCGTTGTTAGGGATGCCCTTTCATTAGCAACCACAGTGTCTGACCACCTAGAAGGGCGCACACTTACAGGTATCTCTAAATACCCTGAGCTCAGGTGCCAAGGAATGGCCCTTCCCTAGCATCTGAGACTAGTGAAGGGTGAGGCTGCTAAGGACTCGTAGCTTCGCAACCGTAGCCTTTCCACGGTTTTCGTGGCTGTCGCAGGCCCCGTTTAAGAGAAACCCATTGCTGTTGAATTGTGCCCCCAGGACTCCCCCCAAAGGCTCCCTCTGGGCTACCCTCCCCTGTTGCCCTAGCAAATATGTCAGCCCATGACCCCCTCCTTAGCAGCGGGGCTGGGACAGTAGCCAGCAGTGGGAGGAGGCCTGGCTGAGCTGCATGTCTGTCCCCCACCCTCATCCTCCACCCCCCAGTCCGGAGAAGGCGGCCTCCTTGGAGTACGACTATGAGACCATCCGCAACATCGACTGCTACGGCACGGACTTCTGCGTGCGGGTGCGGGATGGCATGCGGTACTGGAACATGACGGTGCAGTGGTGGCTGGCACAGTACATCTACAAGAGCGCGCCTGCTCGCTCTTACGTCTTCAGGTGAGTCCTTCCTGCCCGGGAGGCCGCGGCAGAACTACATCTCCCGGGAGCACCCTGGGCAGCCTCTGCCTCTTCAGCCAGCCTCTCCCCAAGGCGCACGGGAGTCGGAGTCGCAGCGCCTTAGGCCTGGGGTTGGGCCGTCAGGTTGGTGTTACTCTGGCATCAGTAGTTCCCCTTCTGTGACCCCTGGTTTCGATTTCTGTAAATGCAGCCTCCTTCCAGAGATTCAACCCTGTGGACTCAGTAGCCGGACTTTCCCAAATGTTGGCCTCGACCCTTCGAGGGGGTTAATGCTGTTACCATTTCCTAGGCTGATGGGAGGACCGTCAGGTCCAGTGCGACGCGCGCTTGCCGAGGTGCTGACAGCCGCGCGCTCGCTTCGTGTTCGCTTTCACCACTTCACCCTGCCGGTATTTCCTGGGTGGTCAGTTTATGTGGGACATGGTTATTTTTACAACCTTAGGCAGTAGGGACCCTTATCACCCCCAGAGTAGTATTTTTTAAGACAAAAAGTCAAACACGTCTATGTCCGTCACCCATGGGTAGAGACCCGCGTGCCTCCATATTTTACTCCCTTGGCTTCAGTCCCCATGTAAACAGCTGAGACAAGTCATCCCCCAGTTACAGATGAGGAGACCGAGGCTCAGGGGTTGGGTTACCTGCCGAGTGCCACCAGATGCGCTCAGAACGCGCATTCTCAAAATAAAGCCATTGATGATGGCTACTCGGGAGCGCCACTACCTGGGTACGTGACCCCGGGTGTATGGTTTAAAGTCTGCTCGGCTTGGTGTGGGGAGTGGAGTGGGGGGGAGGGGCAGGAGGTAAAGCGGGGAGACAAATTCAGAGGCCTGTGGGGCTGGCCAGGTGGGAGAGGATGTCCCTGCAGAGGAGTGGACAGTGGCTGGAAATGAGTGGATGGGTCGGACATGGCACAAACTGGACGTGAGGCCTGGTGCCTGATGGAGGGCCAGGTGGGCCATTTGCCTGGAAGGGGGACAGCCTGGGCAGGAAGAAGTTTCTGGAGTGGGGAAGATGCGGAAGTGAGACTTGGGCTGAGTCCCACTAACTTTGAGGCAACTCTTGGATTTCTGGGGCGGGGGTTGTGCGGGGAGGCCATTAATTATGTGATTCTGGTGTGTACAGGGAGGGTGGTGTGAGAAGCAGACACTTGAGCACTCTCAGGTAGAGGTGATACTTGCAGCTCCCGTCTCAGGATAAGGTCAAAGCATGGGGTGCTTCAGGTGTTAAGACAGGGGACTACCAAGTGCGGGTGAGAGCCATACCCCCAGGGGGCATTGGGTAGTATCTGAGAGTTTTTTGGTCTTCAAAGAGAGGTTGTGCTGGCACCTGGTGGGTGCCACCACCCTCCTCCCCAAGTGATCAGCTCCAAAGAGCAGTAACTCTGAGATTGAGACTCCTGGTGGAGACTAGGGACCTAGAGAAGGAGCCAGCGGAGACGCAGCCAGCAAGAGGGAAGGAGAGATTAGGGAAGAGCTGATTCCTGAGGGAAGCCCAGGGCGCCAGAGGCTCAAGGAAGGAGGGATCAGCTGTGCTGCAGGTATAAGCTCTGGGGCAGTGGGATGAGAGGCTGTGGGCTCTGGTTACCTTGGCAACCCTGATGGGCGCCTTTGGAGAGTAGAAGGGAAAGCTGGAACTGTGTGGGCTCAAGAGGAGCAGCAGAGGAGAAGCGAGGGGCACATTCACTGCACCGGGGAGAGCCAAGCTGCTGTCCTGTTCCCCGCCTTAGGGGGAATTTTTAAATCCCACAGAATCTTCTCTCCACCATGAGTAGGAAAGAGAGGAGCCAGTTTCGTAGTGAATAAGCAGTCAGCCAGATTGCAACATTCTGTCTATGTTTGAGATAGAATCTAGAATTTCTAGAGCGCAAGGATGCTTTGGCCCCAAATTAGAGGACTTCCCAGCCTGCTTGCTGCGCCTTTCATCCCCGGTTCGCCGGGTACTGTGGGCAGCCAAGTGTCTATCTGAAGGAAGAATAAAACTCCTGTCTCTAGGATAAGCAAGTGGTCACAGCTGGGGCCAAGCTTAGGATGAACCCCAACAGGGGCGGGGAGATGTGCGCCCTGTCTCCCTTGTCTTGTCTGGTTCCAAGAGATGACTTCCAGGCCGCCGGGGGCAGTTCCTGGATGGCAGTGCTTCTGGAGGCTTGTTAGGCTTTTTTTCCCTGAAGATTTACATTTATCTCCCAAGGACACAGAAATCGTCCCAAGGACAATTTCAGGGAAATTGTCTAAGAAGGGAGGGAAGGAAAGTTGAAGGAAAGTTCTCCCTGACAGCAACAGGCCGGTTCAGCCTTTTCATGGACGCTGGGCCCCCACGCTGGGGACCGCAGAAGAGATTGTGGCCAAACATCTCTGAATCTTCACGGGTCAGGAATATACCCTGCATCCCTCAAGGAGGAAGCAGCTAGAAACTAGGGTTCCTCCATCCTGAGACAAATGGATGCTGGGGAGAGTTATTGGGCTCCAGAAGAGAGTCTCTGGTCTGATGGAGAAGGGGCTGGGGGTCTGGACTCCTGGTCTGAGGGAGGAGGTGGCTGGGGGTCTGCATTCCCTATTCGGAGGGAGGAGGGGCCGGGGGCCTGGACTCCTGGTCTAAGGGTGGAGGGCAGGGACTATCCTGGTCCTAACTCCCAGCCCCTCCCCAGGAGTGCCTGGACCATGCTGCTGAGCGCCTACTGGCACGGCCTCCACCCTGGCTACTACCTAAGCTTCCTGACCATCCCGCTGTGCCTGGCCGCCGAGGGCAGGTTGGAGTCGGCCCTGCGGGGGCGGCTTAACCCCGAGGGCCAGAAGGCTTGGGACTGGGCGCACTGGTTCCTGAAGATGCGGGCCTACGACTACATGTGCATGGGCTTCGTGCTGCTCTCGCTGCGCGACACGCTGCGGTACTGGGCCTCCATCTACTTCTGCATCCACGTCCTGGCCCTGGCTGCGCTGGTGCTGGGGCTGGCTCTGGGTGGAGGAAGCCCCAGCCGTCGGAAGCCGGCCTCCCAGGCCGCTGCTGGCCTCGCGCCGGAAAAGCTCCGGGAGGAATAAGCTGCCATCCTGCCCCTTCTGCCTGCGGCCCAGCCACCAAGCTTTTGCCTGGGAATTCTGTGAACCAGGCTGCCGCCTCCTTTGCCAGAAAGAACCCTCATTTGACTTGGGGCCTGGAGAGGATTCCCACTTCCCCAGCACAACCCTGGCCTCCCATAAAGCACAGGTCTGGGTAGGGGGACAACCCCCTGCTACCTCACCTCTGGCCCGGTCTCCAGAAGGGCAGTTTCCCGCCCGTAAAGTGAAGCTGTCCAGACAGGAGTGTGCCCGGGTCCCTGTGCCTGTGTCCAGATTTTCAGAGCGTGCTGCCCTTCCCACGTGGTTTCAGGGACCAATTCCCTTTGGGCCATGGTGTGGGAACGTAGCTTCAGGACACGTTCTGGGAGTGGGAAGTGCCTTTCTCGCAGCTCTTGCTCCTCCTCAGCCAACCAGTATTTCAGAGCTGGGAGGGGTCTAAGCTTCCCTTCCACGTGGGGGAAACACGGGCGCTGATGAGCAGGCCTTGGGCCCTCTGATCCTACGGGTTGCATCAGCTACCACGGGGTCCCACCGCTCCTGCCACCCTTGTCATCCTCTGGCCTAAGACAGGCTCGGAATTCAACAGTCTCCCCCAATAAAGTGTCACACAAAGATGCTGTGTCCGAGTGTCTGTGGGGGTGCCGGCTGCCAGCCCGATTCCGATCGTGGGGGTGCCAGCTGCCAGCCAGGCTCCCAGAAGCCGGGCGGGCACCTGCGGGCTTGCCTGCCCAGAACTAGAGAACAGGAAGTGCTCGGCAGTCCTTGGGCCACCTGGCGGCCAGGTGCAGACCCGCCCCATTCCTCCCGCACCTGGGGCAGTCCCCGCCCCAGTGGCTCCAGGAGACGGAAGCGCAGCAGTGCCTGGGGCCATGGACGAGAGCCCAGCCTGGGACCCTGAGCCCCGGGGCTCCTCTGGGAGGTGGCCTGCACCCCGGGAAGCCCGAGCAGGTCGGGGAGCAGGGGGGAGGTCAGGTCTAGCCCCCCAAATTAGGTAGAAGTCCCCAGGGAGGAGAGCCACCAAGGCCTGGGCTCTGGGTCCAGAGGGCGGAGGGGGAGGGGTTTCGATTGCTGGGTTTCTGGGGAGAAGGCTGGGACGCCTAGTTGGGGGAGGAGGGGTACTGAGATCCAGATTTGAGCTTTGTGGGAGGGAAGGAGAAGAGCTAGGACTGGGACACAGATATTTGAGGAACAAGAGGAGCCAAGGTCCTAAAATCCAGAATACAGGGGGTAAAGTTGCAGGATTCATTGCTGGGGTAGCAGGGTTCTGGGGGTGCCACACGTGGGCACTTGGGGAGGGGCTGGGGATCTGGTCTCCTAGGTCTGACAGAGGAGGCTGGGGATCTGGACTCCTGGGTCTTCCCAGCACCCCGCCTCTTGCTCCAGGCCGGGCACTGTCCTCTGTGCTGAATGAGCTCCCCAGTGCTGCTACACTTCGGTATCGAGGCCCCGGGGTGCTGCCCTGGGGAGCCCTCCAGGAGGAGGACGGGGACCAGCAGTGGAGCTCCCAGGCCTTCGCTGAAGCTGCCCAAAATGAACTGCAGGCCCACCCTTCCCGGGAACTGCCCTGGCCCATGGAGGCCAGGCGAGCACACAGGTGAGGCCCTCCCCCGCTGTGGGGGATACCCCCGCTGTGGGGCGCGTGCCACCTCCGCCTTGTTGGGTCCCTGTCCATCAGTCTGCCCTGTTTCCCTCTGCCCGGGTGGATTCCTTTTCTCCCGTCCGAGTCTGCTTCTCTGCCTCCCAGTTTCCATGTCTCAGGGACGCTCTTCTCTGCCTCCAAGCCCACCTTTGCCTCAGTTTCCCGCTGCATCTATTGTCTCTATCTTTCCTCTCCCCTTTGTGTCCGTCTTGGCCTCCCCCTCACAGCCTGTTGCCCTTCACTTCTTCCTCTCGACGCTACATGATTTGCCAGGCACAGTGTCAAGGGAAACGCTGGACCTGTTGTTGAACAACTATGGCCCTTCTGAGAATGGAGTGCTGTGCGCCTCTCTGAGAGGCCTGGAAGTAATCATCCTTTTGTTCTACAATTCTGGGATCAATCCCTGGGGGGAGCAGCTTTTCCAAACCACCAAGCTATTTCCTAATACCAGCAGCGTGTCTGACTATTGAAATTCTCCCATGATTTACTGGGGGACAGTGTGAAGTCCCGGGGTGCTGCCCTGGGGAGCCCCGGAGGAGGAGGAGGAGGAGGGCCAACAGTGGAGCTCCCAGGCTTTCGCTGGGTAAGGGCTTGGCCAACCCGCTGCCTCCCCACCTCAGATGCCAGCCCACGTCCAGGCTGTAGCCTGCGCTTCTGACTGACTGGCTATAGGCGGCAGTTAGCTTGCCAGAGCAGCTCACAGGAATCGGGGAAACCTGCACTCACTAGACCACCGGTTTGTTATAAAAGGGGATAACTCAGAACAGCCACATGAAAGAGATGTAGAGAGCGGGATATGGGAAAAGGGCACGGAGCTCCCATGCCAGCTCCAGGGCACCACCCTCGAATCTCCATGTGTCCACCCACCCAGAAGCTCTCCGAACCCGTCCTTTGCGGTTTAGTGAAGGCTTTATTACCTGGGTGTGCCGGATTACCTCACTGGGGGCAGATCCCATCTCCCGCGGTGCTCCTTCCCGCGCAGGCCCCGCCCTTTACGCTCAGCTCGGTTCCCAGACAGCCTGTACGCATCCTCCCTGCCGCCAAAGCCAAGGCCTCGAGGTAAACTCGGGTGCCGTTGAAAGCGTTGTCAACGCGCAGACACCTGGACCGCTCTCAGTATCACTGAGGATATGCCAAGGTTTTTAGGAGCTGTGTGCCTGGAATGGGGGCAAATGCCAAATATAAATATTTCTTGTTATAAATCACAGTATCACATTTTCCTCCTGTCTTTTTTTTGTTTGTTTGTTTGCATTGTTTTTCTTGCAATTAGCCTATAGAGAAACGCAGAAGCCTTGACATAGGCGCTAAGTACTGAGAAAGCAAATATGCTGGGGGGTGTGGAAGGGAGAAAGAGGAGCAAGGTTGCAGCGGGGAGCATGCACTGCCTCTCTGCGTCCCTCTCTGCACCTCCCAGAACCTCTTCCCAAACTTGCTTTTCTTTCCCGTTTCACCCCCATGCTCGCTCCTTAAAGAGCAGAGCTGCTGCCCTGTCGATCAGTAGCCAGTTGCAGCCTGCTTCCCCTCCACCCGAGGTGGGAGTCTCCCTGCTGCGGCTTACCTGGGCCCCAGGACCACCCCATCAATGGCACGATGTTTCTCCACTTGAGTGGCTTCCACGTGGGGACTGCTGGGGCCTTCACTTTCTGTCTGACTCTGTTTCCTGCCCAGGCAGAGATACACCAGGGACCAAGAGGCTCAAGCCTCGGGATCCAGAGCCACCCACTGGGCCCGACAGCTTCGGAGATCCAAAGAGAAGCTTCGGAAAGGCCTGCACACCTTGAAACCCTGGTCGTGGACGCTGAAGAAGATAGGGGGTGCGGTGGGGCTGCGGGTGGCATCTTGGGCTGTGGCCAGACTCCTGGCTACGTGGGAGGAGGGGCTGGGGATCTGGACCCTGGAGGCTGGGAGGGGAGGGGTTAGGACCCCAGGCCTTTCTGCTGCACCCCCACCGCAGGCCAATATGGCGCTGGCACCGAGTCCTACTTCTCGCTGCTGCGCTTCCTGCTGCTTCTCAATGTGCTGGCCTCCGTGCTCAAGGTGTGCTTGACGCTGCTGCCCACCTGGGTGGGACAAGCTCCCCCGGGGCCCCCAGGTGGCAACTCCACGACGTGTGGCACCTACAACCCCACACAACAGGGCCTGGTCTCCTTCTCCAGCCAACTCTTCAACTTGCTCTCGGGACAGGTGAGTGCCCTGGTCCCTGGGAGCCGACCTCTGAAACCCCCAGTGCCCTGGTGGCCCTTCCATCTCCTGCTCCCGGTACCCTCCAGCCGCCTTACTCCACGGTGACCCCTCTCTGTCCTCCCCTCCCTAGGGCTATCTAGAATGGTCACCTCTCTTCTACGGGTTCTACCCGAGCCGCAACCCCCTGGCGGTCACCTACCTGTGCTCTGTCTTCGCCATTGGCCTCCTCTGCCTGCTGCTCATCCTGCATCGGTCAGTGACACGTGGGATCCCAGACCCCCTTCTCTGGTGGGTGGAAGGGGAGTCATGGTGGAGGAGGCCCTCTCCCCAAGAATCCGGAGCCCTTCTCTGTTACCCCTTTCTCTGTGAATTGAAATCAATTTTAAAAAAATGTAAAATGTATTTATGCAGACAGGAACTGGAGTACAGGCCGGAGGTGGGGGTGGCGGTGGTGGTGAGAGGATTCACCAGAGACACAGTGGGGAGCAGAATGGGCAGATTTACTGAAATTCACTGCTGAGGGGAACAGTGGGGAGACAGGAGAGGTCTGCTGGGCCCTGTGGGTAGCTCCCTGGCTGGGGATGGAACCCATGCTGCAGAGGCTGCGGACATCTTCACAGTGCTGTGCTCAAGCCCTTGCGCCACCAGGGAGGCCCTCTCTCTTATTTCCTGGACTCCTGCTTTCTAGGTCTCTTTTCCTCCTTCTGAGTCTTTGTCTCCTGTTCTTTAGTCTGTCCCCATTGGAGTCTCAATGTCCCCTTGAAGTCTGTCTCTCCCTAGTATCTTTGTCCCTCTCCATCCACCCCTGGTCCTTCCCTCTGGAGTTCTGTCCCTGAGTTCCAGTATGCCTTCCTCGGGGTATCTCTAAACTCTTCCGTTGGCCCTGGCCCAACGGCTCTCCCTCAGGCTCCTGCCACACCCCGTCTCCTCTCTCTTAGCTCCGTGCGTGGGCTGAAGCAGACATTGTTGGCTGAGTCGGGGGCTCTGACCAGCTACAGTCACCGGGTGTTCTCCGCCTGGGACTTTGGCCTCTGTGGAGATGTCTATGTGCAGCTGCGACAGCGCAACATCCGCTTTGAGTTGCAGGTGGGCCTAGGGGGCAGGGTCTACCGCCAGAGTGGGAGTGGGGCCTAGACCAGAGTCGGAGCTCCAGGTAGATGTTGAGCGGAGCTTTCTCCTCAGGAGGTGGGCCTTGGGGGAACGTGTGGGCTGGGTGGTGACCAGGGTAGGCTTGCCTAAGGTCAAAAGGTACAGGAAAAACAGCTGCAGGAAGGGGATGGGGCCCAAAGCCCCTTGGTGTAAAGAGATGGGTACGGCCAGGAAGGGCTTGATAAAGTAGACCTGTAATTCTCACCAGGCTCCAGTGTTGTATGGAGCCATGCAGGGGTGTGGCTGGGGTGCTGAGCAGGACGATGAAGGGGTGCAGCTAGGGAGCCCGGCAGGGCCGTGGAAGGAAGGGGCCGGGAGAGCTAGATCATCACCGGGAGGGGTATGACAAGGATCACAGAAGTCTAGAGGGGCAGTGTGGCTTCCCTTCAAGTCAAGGCGGGATGCTGGACCACTGGACGTAGGGGAATGGGGCGTGATTAGACATCTCTCCTCTCAGGTGGAACTGGAGGAAGCGAAGGTGCGGCAAAAGGCTGCAGTGCGGACCCTGGGGCAGCAAGTCAGGCTGTGGTCAGTGAGGGTGCTGCTCAACCTGGTAGTGATGGCGCTTCTGGGCGCCGCCTTCTATGGTATCTACTGGGTTACGGAGTACACCGTGGAGCTAAAGGTGCGGAAGGCTCTTGAGGGGAAAGAGGGGACACAATCTTGAAACCTACATTTCCAAGGGTGAAGGGGATTAACTTTATGATTCCCGGGTTCTTACAGAGGAGGGGTTGGGGAGGCATATTAGGACCCAAGGCTTCCGGGTCCTCAAGGAAGAAGAGGCTGGGGGAGCACCTTAGACTGGCTCCTGCAAGACCCAACAGCGTCATCTCTTGGCCCACCCTCCTTCCCTCACAGAAAATGGCCTTTGTCCAGAAGACACCACTGGTAGCGCTGGGGGTGGATTACCTTCCGTCCGCCTTCATTTCCGGGTTCAACTTCGTGCTGCCACCCGTGTTCAAGCTCCTCGCCCCGATAGAGGGCTACACCAGGAGCCGCCAGATTGCTCTTGTCCTGCTAAGGTTCCAGCCTTCTGGGGTGGGCGGGAATGCTGGCGAGGCTGGTCAAAAGACACAGTTTAGCAGATAAGACATCTGGGGGACATGGGATCCAGTGAGATGTGAGATCTGGATGCAAATTCTCATGCTCCGTCATTGAGCCTCAATGTCTTCATCTGTGAAATGGGAGAATTGTGAGTGTTTCCCAGCAGGAAGGTCCTGGCACGCGGTGGATGCTTGGTCCGTGCTGATTTCCCTTCCTCTTGCTTGCCCTTGCCAGGACGGTGTTTCTCCGCCTGGCCTCCCTGATGGTCTTGCTCTTCTCTCTCTGGGATCAGATCACTTGCAGCGGCAATCCTGAGGAAGAGCAGTGCAAACTCTGTGGCTATAATTCCAAAGAGTTTCCGGTAGGAAGGACTGGGGTGGAGGGGCGCTAGGACTCCTAGGTCCTGGAAGGAAATGGGAAGCTGGGGTCTAGACTCCTGGTTCGGGGAGGAAAGAGGAGCTTGAGGTGCTAGAATGTCCTCCCTTTGGGGACGGGGGTATGGACCTATCCAGACAAAGTGCTGATACTATGCCCATGTGCTAGCAATTTGGAGACTCAAGGGCTCAGGCCTTTAGGTGCCTGGGTCCTGAGGTCTTTCTGCCTGGTTTCTTCTTTTCTCAGTGCTGGGAGACTCGACTGGGGCAAGAGATGTACAAACTTATGCTCTTTGATCTGCTGACTGGATTCGCCGTCACGTTCCTCATCCAGTTGCCCCTGAAGTGAGATCCCCGCTCCTCATCCACTCCCTTTGCCCCGCCCCTTTCCATCCCGGCCTCTGACTGCTCAGTTTCTTTAGGCCAGGTCCTCAGCCTCTGCCCCTTTTAGTGTTAGGTGATCTTCTCTCTGACCACACCCCTACCTGGCAAGCAGGCGCCGTCCCTTGGGCACACCCCCTCCAGAACCGCACTTCCCATAGGGCGGGAGGGGAGAAGCTTGGAAATCACGGGTGGCGCACCCCTGACTCAGCTGGTCCTGCCCCTCAGGCTGTGCGGTGGCCTCTGTCCCGGAGCTCTGGGACGCATGTTGGGATCACGGGAGTTCCAGGTGCCCGACGAGGTGCTGGGGCTCATCTATGCACAGACGGTGGTCTGGGTGGGCAGTTTTTTCTGTCCTCTCCTGCCCCTACTCAATGCGGCCAAGTTCCTGCTGCTTTTCTATTTAAAGAAGGTGAGGGGGAGGGAGGATCCTTGGGTGCGGCGAAGCAGGAGGGTCTGGGTGCTGGGTGAGGTGGGGACTGAGGGGTGTGACTTCAGGGTCCTACAGGATGAGGATGCTGGGGCCCCAGACTACTGAGTCCTGAGAGGGGAGGGCACTGGGTGTGAGAGAAGGGGTGTAGGTCATCCTGACTTTTAGGTTTGAGGGATGAGGGGCGGGGTACTGACTCCTGGGTCTGATGGTGGGAAAAAAATGAGGACTCCTGGGTCCTGACTGAGACAGGGCTGGGGGCCAGGGTTACTGGATGGTGAAAAAGGAGAGGCTGGAGCTCACACTGCTTTCCCCTCCTCTCCCCTCCAGTTCATACTTTTTTCCGCCTGCTCCCCGGCCTCGCGCACCTTTCGAGCTTCCACTGCAAATTTCTTCTTCCCTTTGGTCCTCCTCCTGGGTCTGGCCATGTCTGCTGTTCCTGTTCTTTACAGCATCTTCCTGTAAGTGTGGGAGGTGCCTGCCTCTCTCCCTTCCCTCACCCTCATCCAAGACGCTGACTCTTGACTATGTTGAGCTCTGCCTGCCTCTGACTTCAGGATCCCACCTTCTAAGCTGTGCGGTCCATTCCGGGGACAGTCATCCATCTGGGACCAGATCCCCAAATCTATTTGTGACCTCCCTGAGACGGCCCAGAATTTTCTCTTCTTCCTGGGCACCCAGGCTTTTGCTGTGCCCCTTCTGCTGATCTCCAGGTGAGGAGGTTCAGACTTTCAGGTCTGAGTTTGAATGTGTGGGATCTGGGGACCCTGCTGCATGTGTGTCTAAGAAAGGAGGGAACTGGGGACCCAAACTCCTGGGAGGGAGAACGGGGGCCTGGACTCTTAGGTCTGAGGGAGGAGGCTGGGGGCCTGGACTCCTGGTCAGAGGGAGGAGTCGGATGGAAATTGGCCTTCCTGGGTCTGAAGTTAGAGATCCAGGCCCGCGGTTTCAAAGGCATCGTAAGTCAGTGACACTGGCAAGAGCGTTTCGCGAGCGGCTGTCATTCCGGTCTCCTCTAGCATCCTGATGGCGTATACCCTGGCTCTGGCTAACTCATACGGACGTCTCATCTCTGCACTCAAACGTCAGATGGAGATGGTGAGCCAAGTGGGGTGCCTGAGAAGGGCTCCCCGGGAATATGGATGGGAAGGGGCTTGGGGGAGAGGGATGCGTCTCACCGCCACCTCTCTTTATCTTTCACCCCAGGAAGCCCAGAATAAAGTCTTCCTGGCACAGCGCGCCGTGGCGCTGAGCTCGGCCCGGGCGACTCTTTGACCTCCCAGACCGGCTGGGGTGACGTCCCACTCTGAGATGCCCCAGGCGACGTCCTCTACAACACGGCACAACCGGAGAAGGCCCGCGCCCTTCCCACCCTGCGATTCGGAGAGTTCCAGGGCCCCCAAGTCCCTGCCCAGTGTCTGTCCCCCCAGCATCAATAAACAGCGCTGAGGCGTCCGAGCGGGCTCTGAAACTTGCGCACGGAAGTCCGAGGGGCACAGGCCAATGAGATGGTGGGCAGGGAGACCGGCAGGCGAGCCAGCCAATCGGCAGCCGAGCCCGCTAGCGTCGGGGGCAGGGCCACTAGTGATTGACTCAGGCCCGCGGGAGGAGGCCGTCGCTAGGCAACATCAGAGCCACGCGAGATCCTGGCGAAGGGAGGGGGCTTCTCAGCCAATCAACCCGCCCCGCACCCGCAGGGGGCGTGCCAGCGGGCCCGGGCCAATCCCGGGCGAGGGGGGAGCGGCAGGGACGGGGCCGCGCCTCACCAATCGGAAGTGCCGGGAGGCGGTCCCGCCAGGCCGCGGACTCCTCCGGCGCCATGAATATCTTGCCCAAGAAGAGCTGGCACGTCCGGAACAAGGACAATGTGGCCCGCGTGCGGCGTGACGAGGCCCAGGCCCGGGAGGAGGAGAAGGAGCGCGAACGCAGGGTGCTGCTCGCCCAGCAGGAGGTAGGCGCGGCGGCCCGTCGGCGGGGCGCCCGGGCGGAGCGCGCAGGCGCGTCGTGGGGGCCGGAAGTGGGGGTGCGCGCAAGCGCGGGGCGCCCGGTGCGGATGTCGGGGCCGGGTACCTGCGACCACCTGCGCCGACACCCCCTCGACCGCCTCGCGCCTCGGTTTCCTTCACGCGTGTGCTTCCCGTCGCCAGAGCAGCACCTGGCACACAGTAGGAGCTTGATAAGGGACTCGTTGCGCGTGTACGTGAACCCTCGGGCAGTTCAAGGAAACTGAGACCGGTTTTTTTTGGTTTGCACCCCCGTTTGTTGAGCGCCTGTACTGTGCGCTCACCCCGTGCAAAGTGCTTGACTTGGCGGATTCTCTCAAGCGCCGTTCGTTCCTGTAAAGGCGCGGTGGTCATTAGGCAGAGACATGAGATGGTGCCAGAGAGAGGAAGCCACTTTGCAGGGACCACAGTGGGACAGCCAGCCCCGCCCCATCTGGGGAGACTGTTCCCTGACACCCCCCCCCACCACCACCACCATTGCCAGAGACTTTCTTTATAGCGCCTAACGTGTTTCGTTTACACTTAGCTCTCCGTCCTTTCAGGTAACGTGATCCTCGACGCTGTCTGTGTGGTGGTAGGGATTTTAAAAATTAATATATCCGTAGCAGCTCAGATTTTTCCGGGCTGACTTAGAACTGTCTGGAATAGAAATCGCTTGACCTGAAATGTATTTTGGCTGCCTTCACAGCTGTTCTTACTGTGTTACAGCTGTTCTTACTGTGGGCTGGGAACCCCTCTGGCTTACTGTTTGTTTGATCTGCAGCTTACAAACCCAGGCATTCCCTTACTCCACTCTCACCAACTGGGACATGGATCCTTCTGGGCTCACAGTCCCTCTGCTTCCTGTAGCCCCCAGCATCATGGACTGAGATTTCCTGTGGTTTGCACTAGATTTGCAGTTAAGTTGAATCCCATCTTGGCTCTCAGTGTACTGCCTCATTTCTTTTCCCTCCAGGCTCGCACAGAATTCCTTCGGAAGAAAGCCAGGCATCAGAACCCGGTACCTGAGCTTGCAGCAGCCGAGGCGGGAGGCTCAAGTTTTGGCCCCGTGGACCTCTTCCGGGAGCTGCTGGAAGATGGCAAGGGGGTGACCAGTGGCAATAAAGAGTATGAGGAAGAAAAGCGACAGGAAAAAGTAAGCTGGCTGAGCCCACTTCATCAGCAGGGAGAGTACCTCAGGTTGTGACACCATGTGGGGAGCAAGCAGGCTGACAGAGATTGTGGAGAACGTGAACTGTAGTCAGGAAGCTTCTGTTACTGCCATCCAGGCCTGCACCGGGCTCAGTAGATGCTGGAGCCCCCAGAGGTCTCCACTCTGGTGGCAGCCCCCACAGCGATTTGGTTGGGAGGTGGTAAGGAACTTGTCAGAATTTAAATTAGGCCCTGCCACTCCCTGGCTCACAGGGATTTATTTCCCATCGAACTCGGCACTGGCCTTCTCACATCAGTCACTCCTCTGCTTTGCTTTTCAGGTTTTCTCCAAGTGTCTCCCAAGTTGCATCTCCTGCCCTGTCCTCCCTTTTCTGGGCTGTTACAGAACCTGCCATGCCCACAGGGCAGGACCCCATCTATGCTGATTTGTTGTGTCCCCATTCCTGGCAGTTGGCTCAGTGACTGCTTTGGCCTCTCCAGCAGCCTTGAGTATCCCCATCCAGGGCTCCCAAGGAAGATACACTTGAACTTTACACTCACTTCTATTTTCTAATTCTCTTAGGAGAAGCAAGAGAAAGCTCTGGGCATCCTGACGTACCTGGGACAGAGTGCAGCGGAAGCCCAGACCCAGCCCCCTTGGTACCAGCTTCCTCCAGAGCGAGGGGGTGTCCCATCTGGCCCGAGTCGAGATGACAAAATCAAGAACCACCTAGACCCTCTGCGGGAGATGCAGAAACATTTGGGGAAGAAAAGAAGGCCCAGCAGTGACAATGGGAGTCGCAGCAGGAAAGAAAAGTGGGCACCTGAGAAACAGCAGCCTAAAGCGTAAGCAGGAAGCTGGGTTCCAGGCCTGGGGGGGTGGTTTTATAGGCCCCGAGGGAAGACTGTGAGCTGAAGGCACTAGGCCAGGAGCTGACTGGGTGAGTGGTTCTAAGAATGTGGCCTGTTGACCCCCACTGTGTCCGACTTCCCTGCAGAGGCGTTCAAGCCTGTTTCCATAACACCATCCAACCTTCTCAGATTTGTTAAGCGCAGAGGGGTTTGTTCCTGCTTGTCAGAGCAGCCAGGGGAGCATGTACTTGTGCTTTTAAGATTTCTCAAGTTTCCTAATACGCCAAACGTGGCAGATAAAACCGAGACAGCTCTTTGGGATCCTCCACTTTTAGACCAGAGTTTGAGAACAGGGTTAGAGTAAAAGGGCTTGTGTGCCAGAGTGGACTGTTGTTTCCTATATAAGGAGAGACTGAGGCCCAGATGGTGCTTGGTATCCTACAGCTGGGTTAGGGAGGGACACCCAATTGAAAAGATGGGTGAACACAGGATTGCAGAAAGGGAGGCCCTGATCCTTGTACATGGGTGAGGGGTCTCACCTGCAAGTTTCATCAACTAAGAGGCAGGCAGGGGGTCTGGAGGACCTATTTCTGACCTGGCTTCTCTTCCCCCTAGATCCCCTTCCCTAGAGCAGCTCCGAGCTGAACGTCTTCGGCGGGAAGCAGCCGAGAGGGCTCGGGCTGAGGCCCTGCTGGCTGGGGTCAGAGGCAGAGTGCCCCAGGAAGACCAGCCAGAAGAGGAGACAGATGATCGTCGCAGGCGATACAATTCCCAGTTCAATCCCCAGCTGGCCCGGCGGCCCCGCCGACAGGAAGCCCCGCTTGCTCACTGAGTTCTGGGGTGGGTACAGGAGAGGCCGCTGCCGCCAGCCTTCATATAAAACTATTTATTCATAAATATTTTCCAAAATGAAAATAGGTTTACCAAAAAATGTCCCTCACTGGGGAGGGGAGGAGGGGGCAGCCCTCGCCCCCCCAGGATGGGGCTGAGAGGAGAAAGCCTCCCAGCCCCCTCCCTGCTTCCTGGGGGAGGGGACTGCCCCAAGGCCTAGGGCCACCCCTGTCTTCCAGGGCAGGGCCCTCACCTGGGCAGGGGGATCAGCATGCGGGGGAGAGGGGAGGGCAGTGGGAGGGGCCGGTGTCACTGGAGGTCCCGGTCCTCCAGGTAGCGGTACTCAAAGGTGAAGCCTTCCTTCTTCCGCTGGCCCCACTTCTCGTAGTCAAAGTAGATGTAGGTGCCCTGGCCAGGGGAGAAGGCGGTCAGTGAGTGGACGAAGAGGTGGCCGGGGATCTGGGCCAACTGAGACAAGGGACAGTTCCTAAGGCCTGGCTGGGCCAGCTTCTCCCTGCAGTGCTCTTCTTGGGTGGGAGATGTGACCAGCCTGCTGGAGAAGCTGCAGAGGTCGTGCCCAAGGTCCCAAGGCTGAGAGTGAGGCCTTGACCTGGATACATGTACTGAGTCTTCCACGGATGATCAAGACTCCTGCGGCTTTTTGGGCTACCGAGCATTTGACATGTCCTAGCATTTAGTCTTCGAGAAACGTTGAGACATGACACCACCCTAGAGTGGAAGGGGCTCAGGAGAAAACTCTGGGGATGGGGGTTTTCTTGGTGAGGGTGTAGTGCGGTGTGGGACTTTGAAATGTACTAAAGTGGAGGATGACTCGGACCAAACCAGGGTGGGACAGGAGGCTGCATTTAGTGTCAGGACGTAAGTGGGAGCAGAGCTGGCCTCGCCATGAGGGTTAGTCTGAAACGCTCCAAGAACTTGAATGAGGCAAGGGGAAGGGACTGAGCCCTGAGGATAGGACTGTCTGGTACTTGGCAGGTGAGTAGCTGGTGGAAAAATCCACCGTGGACGCACCAACTAACAGTAATCTGAAACGAGACGTAACGTCCGTGACGCTCACTAGGTAGCAGGCAGCACTGAGCACTCACATGTTATTAACTCGTTTAATCCTCATGACTGCAGGTACCCAGTCCTATCACCCCATATTTACAGAGAAGGAAACAGAGACAGCTGCAAGTAACGCCCAAGGTTACCAGTGAGATCTGGGTTCAAACCCAGGTGGCCTGGCCCCAGAGTGTTGTGCCAACGGGAGGTTCAATCAATGAACCAGCTTTCCCTTTTGTGTCTGCCAAGCCCCCGCTCTGCTGGGGACTTGTGGGACAAGAGCCAGTCTCAGGCACTGTGCAAGGGAGCCGAGGCTCGGGCAGGAGACACCACACCTGCTCGTGCTAACGGAGGTGTAGGCCGAGGGGGGCTGGGTTGGGGCTGACGGGACAAGGAACCAGCCAGGTGCACAAGGACGAGACCATGTCCCAGGCAGAGCGGTGGGCCTGAGAGAATGAGCTGGGGTGCAGGGGGAACTCTTCCCCTGACTACCCCCTGAGGTCAGGGGTGTGGGGTATGGGAAGGGGCCCTCACCTGCTCAAACTCATCAGTGATGGTCTTGGGCTCCTCATGCCTCTGGAACCACATCATGTACTTGGTGTGGAATCGCCACGACTGCTTCTTCAGGGCCTTGGCTGCCAGGTACTGTGCCTTAGTGCCCTGGGGAAGGAAGGGCAGAGC